TAACTTTGAAAAATAAATTGTTCTTTTCTTATAAAAGGCTAAATAAAACAAAAATATTGGTGGTAATTTTTGACTAACTTTACAAACGGCACCCCACACAATCAGAAGGAGAAGCAAGTGTTACGACTCATAAAATCAAAAACCTCAAACAATCTCACTCAGCCTCAACATTTTTACAAATTCATTACAACTGTCATTTATTGGACATCAGGCATCCCACAAATCTTGTGAATTATACAGCCTAAACATGTGACCCAGACCAATAAAGTCCTTGTTGAGTTAAAAGATCAGCAGCATCTCCACAGCCGTCACTGCTCATAAAGATTCATTAGACCAGTGCAACAGCTTCAGCAGGAAAACACAAAATAATAACAATAAAAAAATCACACAAAGCAGAAACTAACGCAGTTTCCACTTCAGCTCCAAAGCCCCTCCATCAAACTTCAATTAAAGAAACATTACATCAACAGCATCACTTAGTGTGCCACTGTAAACAGCTAACAATCACAAGCATTCAGCTTAATGGAAAAGGAAAAGAGTTGGTAAAACTCTGCAGGCCTGAACAAGTACTGGAAACCAACCAGCACAAACCCTGCTCTGCCCAGGTCCAACGTATCTTCAGGAGCAGCTCCAGAAGAAAAACCAGGCTCTGAGCTTTGGCAGCGGACAGTCCCACTGCTGCTGCACAGAGCAAAGGTTGGAAACAGGCAAAGGTTGGGCAGTTATAAGGTTAATCTTACGCTAACCGGGCTAAAAGATCGCGTGACGCCCGACTATGCAAAGACAAAAACAAGAGCCTTTAAAATCAAGCCTCCCTCACTGTAGTCTGCAAACCTGAGTTCGTTTTAGAGTCGAGTTACAATTAAAATCCCAGCACGTCGCACTCTTCACCGACAGAGTTTTAAACTTGGATCACGTTAATGAAATGACAGCTGTTTTCATTTTGGTCAAACCTTGAATCTAACGTGTGTAAATCTTGAGTACATGTCATGAAGAACGATCTACCACACTTAATACCTCAATAACCTGCTAAACAAATTCATTTAAAAGCATTTCTGTGTTTCCAACAATTGATTGGTTGTGGCAGCCATCTTGAATCAGGTTGACTCCAAAGGTTAGCTAGATGTAGCTGAAAGCTTCACGAGACACATGTTGCTAACAGTTTGATCTGTTAGCTTAGATCAGGGGTCTGCAACCTTTACGATCAAACGAGCCATTTCTGCTCCTCGGCTCACTGATAAAACGTGTCCAGAGCCGCAAAACGAGCTACGACTGTAATTATCAACTGGTGGTCCGCGGGCCTTTTTGAGGCCTTTTCGGGAACCTTTACAGCCAGTGGAGGTGACATTATAAAACTAAAAAATTATATACTGTGAATTTTAATATTTATTATTTTTACACATTAGGACAAATGAAAAGACTATTTTCATGTAAACAAAAATACTTTATATAGTTTATATTGAATTTCATTAAACTAGTACAACTAAAATATTTTCTAATTCTTATTATGTAGTCTTCAAAATTTAAAAAAGGTAATTCTGATGGATTTGAAAGCAATAAGTTGGATTATTTAAGTATACAACAGGCTAGCATGAGCTAATCTACGGGTTTTACTTTTTGTATTAGTAGTATTGAGCATTTATTTGCACACAAATGGATTTCTTTTATGGGTATAAAAACAAACAGAAAATTTTATTCCGTTATGTTTGGTCACATTTTCAAAGAGCCACTGCAGAGGGACTAAAGAGCCTCATGTGGCCCTAGAGCCGCAGGTTGCAGACCCCTGGCTTAGATGATGTGCTGAGGTTAGGTCACAGCCGTGTCGATTAGGTGCCACCTTGAACTGGATCGACAACAATTAATGGAAAAAGCTTTATAAAGCAAATATTCAGTGTGATGAGTAGCACTCAGATTTAAATGTTCTGGTTCGTTACCAGCTGCACACAGACCAAATGTTAGCACAATATCTGTAAACCAGCCAGCTTTTGTGTGTTCGCCAAGGTCGATTAGCTCTCGACGAGCATCTCATATTAGGTTTGTTGATGTTCAACTACTTCCTGAAACTTTAATTATCCAGTGGTTCAAGGATTCATTTACTGAAAAGTTGACTCCACATAGTTAATGGTTAAATCCCAACGACGAGGGTGGAGACGAGTATTATTTTACAAAACAAGTCTGTGGAAATAACTCCGCTACCACCGCAACAATTTCAGCTTAAAAAAAAACCCTGTAAATCTGACTGGATATGCGTTCTAATGGCCAGTTGGCTGTAGCCGCCATCTTGAAATTAAGTTGACTCCAAAACTGGTAATCAGCTGTTGATGTTAATCCAGCAATCACTGACAGTTTTATTGAAATTCAGTTGATTTAAAAAAAGGCACAGTGTGTGGGATTTTGTCAATTCTTTTAGACAAAATTAAGATAATCACTAATGACAATAATAAAAAACATGTCTAATCATTGCAGACAAAGACCTTGTTTTATTATTTTTACCTTATAAAAAGCTGTTTATATCTCCATGGTCGCAGGTCGCCACTACAGGCAGCCACCATCTTGTCTACGAAGGCTCATGAAGGACAAACTGCAGTGGCGGCGTCAAAAACGGTTTTAGTTGTAATAATATAAATGTAATATTTGTTGTCTGTCATTGTAGCTGGGATAATTTTACTTATTAAAGCTCATAATCTTACCACTTGAAACATCACTAGCCCTGAAGCTGCTGGTAGACATCGTGTTGGAATTATCAAAGGTTTTTGACCCCTGAGAGACACCGTAGCAACTCCTTTGTTTGGAAGCGGGGGGTGGGGGTGGGGGGAGGACCAGGGAGGATGATTCAACCACTCAACCACTAGATGTCGCTGAAAACAACAAATCCTACACACTGTGCCTTTAACCAATACACTGCAAAAAAAATGTCCACCTAAGCAAGTTTTAAAATCTTATATCCAACCAAGAAGTCTTTCTGATCTTGTTTTGAGACTGATTTACTAAACAAGAACTGATTGTGTAAGAATAATCATCTTGTTTTCAGAATGTGTAAGATTATTTGTCTTGTTAGCCTGAAAATTTGACTCAAGTAAAACTTTTCTGCCAATGGAGTAAGAACATTTTACTTGGTAAGATTCTTGAMWT